CATTTTATTATTTTTGATGCTATTGTAAATGGATTGTTTTCCTAATTTTATTTTCATATTGTTTCTTAAAAATATATGGAAATACAACTGATCTTTTGTATATTGACTTTGTATCCTACAACCTTGCTAAACTCATTATTTCCAATAGGTTTTTAGAGGATTCTTTAAGATTTTCTATATATAAGGTCGTGTCAACTGTGAATATATAGAGAGAGAATTTTACTTCTTCCTTTCCAAGATGGATGCCTTTTGTTTCTTTTTCTTACCTAATAGCCCTAGCAAGAACCTCTAGTACAAAGTTAAATAGAATTGGAGAGACATGCAATGACATATTTATTTTGTCTCTCATCTTACGGGTGAAGCATCCAGTCTGTCAAAATTAGTACGATGTTAGCTATCAGTTTTTTTGTAAACGCCCTTTATGAGGGTGAGGAAGTTCCATTCTATTCCAGATTTTTTTAATGTTCTTATAATGAAAAGATATTAGTTTGTTGAATGTTTTCTCTGCATCTACTGTGATAATCATGTGTTTTTTATCCTTTATTATATTGTTATGGTATAGTACATTAATTTATTTTTATATTAAACCAACCTTGCATTCCTGGAATGAATTCCACTTGGTCATGGTGTACAATCCTATATTTATATAGGATTGTATATGATGTAAATTTGATTTGCTAGTATTTCATTAGGATATTTGTATCCATTCATACTCATAAGAAACACTAGTCTGTAGTTTTCTTTTTTTTTTTTTTTAAGAGACAGGGTTTTGGCCGAGCGCGGTGGCTCACGGCTGTAATCCTAGCACTCTGGGAGGCCGAGGCGGGTGGATCGTTTGAGGTCAGGAGTTCAAGATCAGCCTGAGCAAGAGCAAGACCCTGTCTCTACTAAAAATAGAAAGAAATTAGCTAGACAACAAAAAATACATATAGAAAAAATTAGCCGGGCATGGTGGTGCATGCCTGTAGTCCCAGCTACTCAGGAGGCTGAGGCAGGAGGATTGCTTGAGCCCAGGAGTTTGAGGTTGCTGTGAGCTAGGCTGATGCCACAGCACTCTAGCCAGGGCAATAGAGCAACACTCTGTCTCCACAAAAAAAAAAAAAAAAAAAAAAAGATAGGGTTTCACTCTGTTGCGCAGGCTGGAGTCCAGTGGCACGATCATAGCTCACTGCAGGCTTGAACTCCTAGGCTCAAGGGATCCTCCCACCATGGCTCCCAAGTAGCTGGGACTACAGGTGTGCACTACCATGCCTGGCTTATAGTTTTCTGTTCATGTTATGTCTTTTGTCTGCTTCTGGTAACAGAGTAATACTGGACTCAGAATGAATTGGAAAGTCTTCCCTCCTGTTCTATTTTTTTGGGAGAGTTTGTAAAGAATTGGTATTAATTCTTATCTAAATATTTGGTAGGATTCACCAGTGAAGCCACCTGGGCCTCAGCTTTTCATTGTAAGTGTGTTTTTTGTTGTTGTTTGCTTTTTTACTACTAATTCAATCTCTTTACTTATTATAGGTCCATTTAGATTGTCTACTTTTTTAGTCAGTTTCAGTAGTTTTTGTCTTTCTAGTAATTTGTCCATTTCAACTAAGTAATTCGATTTATTGGCAAACAATTCTACATAGTATTTCTTTATAATCTTTTTTATTTCTATCAGGTCTGTAGTAATATCCTCTCATTTCTGAGTCAAGTAATTTCAGCCTTCTTTCTTCTTTAGTCAATATAACTAAAGGTTTGTCAATTGTATTGATCTTTTCAAAGAATCAAATTTGATTTCATTGATTATTATCTCTGTTGTTTTTCTACTCTCTAATTTATTAATTTCTACTCTAATCTTTATTATTCTCTTCCTTCTGCATACTTTAGGTTTATTGTGCTCTTCTTTATCCAGTGTCTTAAGGTGGAAGGTTAGGTTACTGATTTGAGATCTTTCTTCTTTTTTTTTTTTTTTTTTTTACTATAGAAAATTACAGCTATAAACTTCTCTAAGCACTGCTTTAGCTGCATCGTGTCTTCAATTTCATTCATCTCAAAGTATTTTCTAACTTCCTTTTTGATTTCTTCTTTGACCCATTGGTTATACAACACTATGTTGTTTAATTTTAACACATTTGTGGGTTTCCCAAATTTCTGTTAACTGATGTTCAATTTCATCCCATTATGGTTGGAAAAAATACTTTGTATTTTTTTATTCAAAGGGTGAATATTGTGTATATAAAATTATATATCAATGAAAAAATTTTTAGGCACATTGTATGATAGTCATAGACAAATATGGCATTAGGCAATAGAAACAGTGGCTGTAACTATGAATCACAGATAGCCTTTATTTAGTTGAGTCTGAAAAAGCTTGTGACGGATCTGCCATTTTCATTTTTTTTTTTTTTTTTTGAGACAGAGTCTCACTGTGTTGCCTGGGCTAGAGTGCCATGTCATCAGCCTAGCTCACAGCAACCTCAAACTCCTGGGCTCAAGCAACCCTCCTGCCTCAGCCTCCCGGGTAGCTGGGACTACAGGCACACGCCACCGTGCCCAGCTAATTTTTTCTATTTTTAGTTGTTTGGCTAATTTCTTTCTATTTATAATAGAGACAGGGTCTCGCTCTTGCTTAGGCTGGTCTCGAACTCCTGAGCTCAAGCAAGATCTGCCATTTTCAAATGGTTCAAATTTTTACCCTATTAAAATCCTCTATAAATGGTAAAAAAAAAAAAAAGACACTCAAAAACTCCATATAATAAACCGGCAAAGGACATGAAATGTTCATTCCCAAGAGAGGAAATACAACTAAAGAAAAAAACAAATGAAGAAGAAAACTCGTAAGTAGTCTTTCTAAAAAAATTTCTTTGAAAAATGAAATATCATTTTCCCCCTACCAAATTAACAGGTTTATCTTTGGTTTTGTAACATTAATATACAATGCTGGAATGATGCAGTGAAATTACGCACTCTCATCATAACTGCTTGTGGGAATAAAAACTGGAACCCTTTGGAAAGCAATTTGATAAAAACTATTAAGAGCCTTAAAAAATCATAAATGTTTTCAATTAGTAATTCTACTTTTGACATCTGTGTTTAAGAAATACTTTTAAATACAGAAAACATTTTAGAATAATAATATTCCCTGTAGTATTATTTCCAAATAAATAAATTGTTACAATATATTCAGTATATGGTTAAACTATGGTTTAATGATTAGACAAAATATCACACAGCCATTAAAAATTATGTTTATAAAACACATACAATAAAAAATACTTCTGTTATAATGTTAGCAAAAAAGGGGCAAAATTATGTACAAACTATGATTACAGCTATGTGTTAAAAAATAGCAAATTTCAAGTGATGTGTATACAAAAGCCCCAACTTCACCATTATGCAATATGTACATATAATGGGAAAAAAATAAAAATAAAAATAAAAAATAGCAGTCTGTGTACAGAAAAAAAATTAGAAAGCAGACATCAAAAGACTAATAATGGTTATCTTTGAGTAGTGAATTTTAAGTGTAGTTTTTTCTTCATACGTTTCAATATCTTTCCAAATTTTCCATGAGTATAAACCTTTTGTTTGTTTTTTGTTTTTGGGGTTTATTTTGAGACAAGGTCTCACTCTGTCGCCAGGGCTAGAGTGCAGTGGTGTTATCATAGCTCACAGCAACCTCAAACTCCTGGCTCAAGCAATCCTCCTGCCTCAGCCTCCTGAGTAGCTGGGACTACAAGTGCACGCCACCACACCCAGCAAATTTTTCTATTTTTTGTAGAGACAGGGTCTTGCTCTTCTTCAGGCTGAGTATAAACTTTTATAATAAAAATATATTTAAAGCAAATTTAAGAAATTGTTACTGCAAGAATAACCCACTTAGTGTGACACCTCTCACAAGCAGGACTTCACAGATATGTATTTTCTGTCACACAGGAGATATACCTACTCTCTCACACACATAACCCCTAGTTTTTTCACTTAAGCTTTTGATATTATACTTTTCTAAGTGTTTCTGCTTTTATATATTTCTTTTTTTTTTTTAAGATAAATGAAGTAATCTTTTCTAGGGCTCTGAAATAGCTCTCTAATTCCATGAATACTGTTACACAATTTAAACATATTTATCTTCTTATATTCTCAAAATAAAGTTATCAAAAAGATTAAAAGTAGCCAGGCATGGTGGTGCATGCCTATAGTCCCAGCTACTCAGGAGGTGGGAAGATGATTTGAGCCCAGGACTTCAAGGCTACAGTGAACTATGAACATTTACACCACTGCACTCCAGCTTGGGTGACAGAGTGAGACCCTGACTCTATAAAAAATAAGATGAAATAAAAGTCAATTAAAAAAAAAAAAGATTAAATGTAAAACCAATTCTATTAATACAAGTTTCTAAGGGCTGCTGTTTATGCACAAAGAGGCTAATTAAGCTCCAAATTAAATCAAAAGGCACAAATAATGTACATGTATTTTTCTCTTATAATCAGAAAAAAAGAACTTAAAAAATTTTCCCATAAAGTTGCTTATGTCTAGTTGGTCTGTTTATTGAAGCAACAAGGCATAATAAAAAGAACATGGGTTTGGAGTCAGAGAAACGAGAGTTTATAGCCTGGTTCTACAACCTCCTAGCTGTGAAAACTTGGACAATTTAAATCTTAATTTCCACCCTTATAAAACAGGGATAACAGTATTTACATAAAGGATAGTGAGGACCAAATGAAAAATGAAATACAAAGAATCATAATATGCAGAGTTCATTATTAGGCATAGTATACATAGCAGCTGTATACTGTAACTGTTTTCATTTCTTTTGGGAGGATGAGGAAATTCATTTTATAACAAGTTACTTTATTCCTAACCCAACACCAAGAGAGAAAAAAATGAGGCAGCTCTAAAAACCATTAAAAGTCCTTAGCAATCCTCAGTTACAAGTTTAGGATGGACCTGAGCAGATTTTACAGCTCCTACCACCTGTCCAATAATGCAAAACAGTTCAAGAAAGCAGACCAGCTTAGGCTTACCTTGCAAGCTACATCAACTAATCGCATCTGGACAGCTTGATTCTCTGGTAGTTTAGTGCCAATTGCAAGCAGAGTGTCCAGCAGTTGAGCTAGGACTTGATGAGACTCTAGAAAGGAAGATGGAAAGCTGGGTTGCAGAATTTCAAAAGGAGATCACTATAGAAACTAATTTACCTGGGTGAAGAATGTTGATTTTCTTTTTTTTTTTTTTTTTTTTTTGAGACAGAGTCTCACTGTGTTGCCCGGGCTAGAGTGCCGTGGCGTCATCCTAGCTCACAGCAACCTCAAACTCCTGGGCTCAAGCGATCCTCCTGCCTCAGCCTCCCGAGTAACTCAGACTACAGGAATGTGCCACCGTGCCCGGTTAATTTTTTTCTATTTTTAGTTGTTTGGCTAATTTCTTTCTATTTTTAGTAGAGACAGGGGTCTCGCTCTTGCTCAGGCTGGTCTCGAACTCCTGAGCTCAAATGATCCGCCCGCCTAAGCCTCCCAGAGTGCTAGGATTACAGGCATGAGCCACCACGCCTGGCCAAGAATGTAGATTTTTGTCAGCTGGGTTCTATTGATCCTTCATCCCCTTCACTAAAAGCTAAGTTCCCAAAGGGTTGCACCTAAATGTTTTAGTCCTCCGAAGGATTGGGCATAGTCCTATACATATAGTAGGTGCTCCAAAAATGTTTAGTGCTTGCCTTATTCAAGAGTTTTTCATTGCCTTCAAAATGAAGTCCAAATTCCCTAGTAGGACATATATATTATAGTTTTTGTTTGTTTTTTAGAGATGGGTAGTCTTGCTCTGTCGCCCAGGCTGAAGTGCAATGGCATAATCATAGCTTGGTGCAACCTCAAACTCCTAGGCTCAAGTGATCCTCCTGCCTCACCCTCGCGAGTAGCTAGCACTACAGGCATGTACCACCACACCCAGCTAATTTAAAAAAAAAAAAAATTCTGTAGAGATGGGGTTCTGTGTTGCCCAGGCTGATCTGAAACTCCTGGCCTCAAGTGATCCACCTGCCTCCACCTCCCAAAGTGCTGGGATTACAGGTGTGAGCCACTGCGCCTGGTCTGCATGATGTATGAATCACTAAAGCTTGGGAAACACTGATTGATCGCTTCTTAGCAAGACTTCCACTTAAACATAGTACATTGAACACATCTGTTTATCTTTGCTCTTTCCTAAAACCTCATTAACGTAAGAGTAAAGAAATTAAAAGGGTTTAAAGGACAAGACAGGAGAAAAAAAGGTGAATAGCTGAAAAAAGTAAACAAATTTTTCAGAGATGGAAAGATGAAGAAATTGGCAAAACTGAGAAATCTAACACCAAATGCCTACTGAGGGGGATATCACTACAAAGCAAATAAATTCTAGCCATAACATCCCCGAAAGGTTCAGGAACTGGAGACTAAAAACAAAAACAAAATACAGGGATGAGGCAGAAATTTGTTTGAATCTCTGTGAGAAACAGAAAAAAAAAAAAGAAGCAGCTGGACCCCTAATGCCTTCCCTATCCTACACAGCCAAGTAACCATTGAAATAATACGTTTATTTGGTGTAGAAATTGGACCAAAAAGGATGCAATTTTGGTGACACCAAGTGAGAACAGGGAGGAGGTACAGTGAAGAAGAAGAGATACAGGGATAGTCAACATATTGAATGATGAGACACTTTCTCCCTCTCCCTACCCTGCCTTCAGCTGCTTTGGCTCCAAGAACACAGCAGCCAGGCATTTCTCTGTCTTCCAGCAGGATATTCATGAACTTCAAACTTGAAAAACTGATGGGTCCAGGAAAAAACACCAGAAGACACTAACATTCAAAAGTCCTAGGCCGGGCACGGTGGCTCACGCCTGTAATCCTAGCTCTCTGGGAGGCTGAGGCGGGTGGATTGTTTGAGCTCAGGAGTTCGAAACCAGCCTGAGCAAGAGCGAGACCCCGTCTCTACTAAAATAGAAAGAAATTAATTGGACAACTAAAAATATAGATAGAAAAACTTAGCCGGGCATGGTGGCGCATGCCTGTAGTCCCAGCTACTCAGGAGGCTGAGGCAGGAGGATCGCTTGAGCCCAGGAGTTTGAGGTTGCTGTGAGCTAGGCTGATGCCACGGCACTCTAGCCGGGGCAACACAGTGAGACTCTGTCTCAAAAAAAAAAAAAAAAAAAAAGTCCTCTAAAGACATGTATCATTCTAGAGTGGAAACCATCAGCTGGCAAGTCCCATCTGTGCACACAGACTACCAATCAGCTTTTTAATGCCTCACCTTAAATTTAATTGAAAAGCTAAGGATAATCAAGAAAAATCTCTAATATGAAAGAGGCCAAAAAGAGAAAAGAAGAGAAAATAGAAGAGAGATGAAAAAATCTCCAACACCACCCAATTAATTTATTTCCTCAGAAAGATAATTCTACATAACATCCATGAAAAGCTAGCTAAAACTTTTTAGGCTTAACTCTTGCTTCTGATAAATCAGATATCAAATTTAAATCCTTAACCCTAATCTCTCTCCTGAGTTTCAGACTGACTGTAGACCACATATCTCCACATGGACAATAATTGAAGCCTCAGTATCACCAAACCGAATTCATTAGAGCTGCCAAGTTCTTTCTAAAACTAGACTTGATCATTTCATGCCCCTGTTAAAAAATTTTACATGGACCCACTGCCTACAAAATAACATTCAAATTCCTCAAGACTACCCTTTGGCTTTAAAACATTTTACCATTCCCCACCGATCTTCCATAAAACTATTCAGTTCTTCAAGTATCTCTTGTACTTTCCCAGCTCTCTATTATCATAATGTTCCTTCTTCTTGGCATTACTCTTCCCCATCTTTGACTTCAAAATTCCACCTCTTTACTTGGCCTTTCCAGATCCCACCTCTCCTCTGCTCCCAAAGTATTCTGACTATACCTCCTCTAAAACACACTTTGTATTATCATTAGTGGTGTAATAGGTACTAGAGAAGCAGAGATATACATGATACTCTCAAAGGACCCAGCCCGGTGCTTGCCAAGAAGTTAAGCACTCATACATCTGTTGAATTGAAATGAAAGACTTGGTCCAGAGTGCAGACCATGCTCTTGGAACTGAAGGTGCATACTAGACTAAATAGTCAGGAGACTCTTAAATTCTAAGTCTGTGGCTTCCACAGATACAGAATGACTTTAGCGGTCACTTTACCTCGCTGGAGTTCATTTTCCTCAGCTACAAAGGGCTTAAACTAGATGATCTCTATGGTCCCTTCCAGTTCTACCTGCTATGAATCCGGGTGGGCCAGGAACTTGAAATCAAAAAGGGACCTAGATCAAATCTCTTGGAAACAATTAAGTAAGAAACAGAATTAGAATACTTAGCAAAAAATAAAACAGCTATTTGCCATGGATACTGCATAATTTGAGTTCCTTTCTCTTAAAGGCTAGAATGAAGTTTACATCAAAACTAACTCTCTCTTAAAATGTTTCTATTTTAGAAGTAAAGTGTTTCAGTTAAACCATGGTCTACAGAGAAGGGTACTGTGCTAAGATCTCAGTTCTGCTAATCCTTAGCTAAATGAACAAGGCAACTCACTTTATCTCTCTGGGACTTAGTTTCTATCATTTACAAATGAAGGTATTACAAACAACAAAAAAAAATCCCTGTAAGGTCATTATAGCTCAAAAAGTCTATGGTTCTATGAAATCCTCACTCTTAAAGTGTGGAATTTTCCCATGTTCCCATCTTTGCTCAGGCTAACTTCTCTACCTAGAATACCTTCCCCCAAACCTGACTCCATCTTCAACTCCACCACTCAGTGAGCACTTACTAATCCCTTAAGTGTCACCTCCCATGCAGCTACTACAAGAATTTTCCATGGAAAAAAATGATACTTCTGTGAAGGCAATGTAATTGTTTTGGAGCTTTTAAAAATGCGTCTTGAGAAAACAAGTACTGCACATGCAGTTATAAGTTGCAGTGTAAGATGAAATAATCCTTTTGGAAAGCAATATGGTAATATATAGCAAAGATCATTAATACGTTTGAACTCCCTGACTCAGTAATTCCCTTCTCAGGAATTTATACTGAGGAATAATAGAAGAAAAAATGGACTTTTTTTGTCATCAGCTACAAGAGCAAAAAATTAGAAACATGTTACTATACCTGTTGTTAACATATTATCAACACTATAAATATTATGAAGATAGACAGAAAAATGGAAAAAAAGGCTGGGTGTGGTGGCTCATGCCTGTAATCCTAGCACTTTCGGAGGTCAAGGCAGGAGGATTGCTTGAGGCCAGGAGTTCAAGATCAGCCTGGGCAACATAGCAAGACCCTATCTCCATAAAAAATTTAAAAAATTAGCCAAGCGTGGTGGCACATGCCTGTAGTCCTAGCTACTTGGGAAGCTGAGCCACGAGGATCACTTGAGCCCAGGAGTTTGAGGCTGCAGTGAGCTATGATCATGCCATTGCACTCTAGCCCAGCTGACAGAGTGAGACCCTGTCTCAAAAAAAGGGAAAGAAATTGCATGTTTCCATGTAACACTGAGTACAGTAAAACGCAAAATAGTACATTCACTGTAAGTACAACCATATAAAATGTATACAAGTAAAAGGTAATATGTAAAATAAGCTGTTTTATGAAAGTAGTAAGAATATTTTTTGTTTTCTTTAATGTTATTATATTGGTACTTATATAAAACAGATCTCCCCTCCAAGAAAAAAGGTTTTGTTTCCTGTGAATTAAAAGTCTTGCATCAAAATTCAATACAAGTAAAATTTTAATATACAGTTATTTCTAACAAAATTTTTAAAATTCTCAACTTCAGTCAATAGCCCACATATGTAAGATATTTATCATTAAACAGTTGTACAATAAGTGAATTTAGATAGCCTGAGTTCATCTGACCTTTACTACTCTTTTAGTCTCTTAAGTTTATAGACTAAATATTATTCAATATTTACATAGCCATATTAAGGCCAGGCACGGTGGCTCACGCCTATAATCCTAGCACTCTGGGAGGCCGAGGCGGGAGGATTGTTTGAGCTTAGGAGTTCGAGACCAGCCTGAGCAAGAGTGAGACCCCGTCTCTACTAAAAATAGAAAGAAATTATCTGGACAACTAAAAATATACAGAAAAAATTAGCCGGGCATGGTGGCACATGCCTGTAGTCCCAGCTACTCGGTAGGCTGAGGCAGTAGGATCGCTTGAGCCCAGGAGTTTGAGGTTGCTGTGAGCTAGGCTAACGCCATGGCACTCACTCTAGCCAGGGCAACACAGTGAGACTCTGTCTCAAAAAATAAATAAATAAATAAATAGCCATATTAAATATTTGTACCCCAAAATGAAATAAAACTATTTTTTGAAACTATAACCAATTCTGTCAAATAAACAAAATCACAATATTTTCAGAAACAGAAACAAAGGGTTTCTTTTTTATAATTTTAAAATAAATATTAAGGCAACTGAGGCACTAACTCTATAACAGAATTTTATATATACATAAAACCACATAATCAAAACATTAAACATTGAGAATATATTTTAGTGGACATCAACAAGGAGCTAACAGAAAAAGAAACAACACAACTCATATGAGACCTGGGAGGTGTCACTTTTATGGGATCTAAATGGTGACAGGACCACATGAATAGGACAGTACCTCTCCTGGTTTCTAAGTTAGTAAGGCACAGTGAACAAAGCATCAATTCCACTATATACTATGTAACCTTGAATAAATTAGTTAACTTCACTGAGCTTTAGTTTCCCAACCTATAAAATAGGAACAATAAGCTGGGCATGACAGCACATGACTATAGTCGCAGCTGCTGGGGTGGGGAGGAGGTGAGGCAGGAGGATCACTTCAGGCCATGAGTTCAAGATCAGCCTGGGCAACACAGCAAGACCCCATCTCAAAAACAAACAAACAAAAAATAGAGACAATAATATCTATCTTATATAATATGTAAATTACATTAAATACATGGTAGTTAGTCAACAAATGATAGCTATTAAGAGACAAAAATATATTTTAACTCTAATGTAAATATATGTACATAGCTGTATGGAATCATCCTCAAATTCCTTTTCAATAACAACCAACACAACAAAATTTTGTTCTAAATTCTATATAAAAGGAACTAAAGATTTCTACTCTGGCTACATGGCTTTTAAATTTGCAACTTACAGTGAGGCAAGGTGGCTCATGCCTGTAATCTTAGCACTCTGGGAGGCCAAGGTGGGAGGACTGCTTGAGTTCAGGAGTTCCAGACCATCCTTAGCAAGAGCAAGACCCTGTCTCTACTAAAAATGGAAAAAAAAAATTAGCCGGGTGTCATGGTGCATGCCTATAGTCTCAGCTACTTAGGAGGCTGAGGCAGGAGGACCACTTGAGCCCAGGAATTTGCGATTATAGTAAGCTACGATGACACCACTGCATTCTACCTGGGGTGACAGAGCAAGACTCTGTCTGGAAAAATAAAAAAATGGCAACTTACTTTCATTCTGCAGGATGTTAATGGCATCATCCATAATGCAGTCTGGTGAAAATCCTGCAGTCTTTGATAATAATCCCAACAACGATGCAATTTTCAGTCTCACAGATGGATCATTCTCCTGGAACAAAAGAAATAATTGTCACCTTGATGCTCTATTCTTAGCTAATCAACAAATAGGAACATGGGAAACTAACATTCCAAAGTCAGTCAATAATCCAAGTATTCTAAGGCTTCATTTCTGAAAAATTAACTTTATATACTTCAGAGCACAGAGCTTTTCTCAATCAGTATATTATACCCAAATACTGCAAGGAGAATGGGAATTTATTTATGCCTTCCTGATGTCATTACCTTCTAATCAAAAATGTGCTATTGGCATTAAAAGTACATTTACCTCCACTGAGTAGTCTTGTTAGGCATAAGTCACAACAACTTGTGCCACCAACACTGGGTACCCAACAATGCTGCCAGCATTACCGCTCTTAAAGTCCCTGGAAAGTGAGTGTTGCAACTACCACCGCTATCACGAGAAAGAACCTTTCACTTTATCTGTTTTTTTGAATCACCAGATCCTGATTAGAAGTCTAAGGCAGGCAAGTGAAATTGGCTGAGTATAGATCGTGTGCCTAGGCCCCGCTGCAAAGAAGACTGAGAAACGAATAGTCTAGCCATTTTAGCTTCAATAGTGGGAGACGGTCTCTAACTAGCACCAAATTCCTGTGGTGAAAGATTGTCCCAAAATACAAAAAGGAACATGTCCTCTTGTTCATTGCCATATCTCAGTTATGCAGCCACAATACCTAACACTAAAAACATCAATAAATATAAATATACATATAAATATAAATATATGGTCAATAAATATATGCGAAATGAGAAAAAAATGTGCCTTGCCAATGCTGAGATTAGGTCATCTTTCTATACCAAAGATAAAATTACTTAAATGTATCCTGAAAGGATGAGATGCTTTTCAAATATGACCAACTCCCCACCTCTCACATATAGTTTTTAAGGAGGTAGGAGGCACAACAAGGAGGCCTAAAGTGGAGGAAGAGGCAAAAGATAGGGAGTAAGAAGACCTAAAATCCCGCATACTATGCCACTTACCATGCACATAACTTTGGCAAAGTTAATTTCTTAGGAACATAACCTTAAGGTGTGAGATGCAGCAGAAAAAGAAAGGGCTTCGAAATTAGCCAGATCTAGATGTGAGGCCTGGATTCACTATGCAATACCTATATGTCTTGAACAGTTAATTAACCTCTCTGAGCCTCATCTGTGAAATGGGGCTAATAAGCTCAGAAGGTTACTGAGAGGAAAATGACTAGCACAAAAATGGGCATATAGTAGGTAGCCAAATATCAGTGCCATAATCTTTACTATTTCCTTCCCTCTGGTAATTTTGGGTTTAGTTTGTTCTTTTTCTAGTTAAGTTGTAAAGGTAAGTTGTTGATTTGAGACTAATACCAGAATATATCAAGAACTCCAAAACTCAACAACAAAAGAAACAAACAACCCGATTCAAAAATAAACAAATGATTTGAACTGACATTTCTCCAAAGAAAATATGCAAATGGCCAAATAAACACATGAAAAGACACTCAGCATCACTAAACATTATATTAATAGAAATACAAATAAAAACTACAATAAGATTCCACCTTATACCCATTAGGATGGCTACTATCAAGAAAACAGAAAACAAGTGTTGGCACGGTTGTGGAGAAATTGGAACCCTTGTGCACTGCAGGTAGAAATGTTAAACGGTGAAGCTGCTGTGGAAAACAATATGGTGGTTCCTCAGAAAATTAATAATATAACTACCATATGATGTAGCAATTCCACTTTGGGGTATATACTCAAAAGAATTTAAAACAGAGTCTCGAAGAGATATTTGTACACCTATGTTCACAGCAGCATCATTCACAGTAACTAAATCATGGAATCAACCCAAGTATCAGTTGACAAACATGGATAAGCAAAATGTGGTATATACATACAATGGAATATTATTGAGTCTTAAAAAGGAAGGACATTCTGACATATCCTACAACATAGATAAAGTTAGAAGATACTATGCTAAGTGAAATAAACCAGTCACAAAAAGACAAATACTATATGACTCCACTTATATGAAGTACTTAGAGTAGTCAAAATCATAGGGACAAAAAGTAGAATGGGGCTGGGCGCAGTGGCTCACACCTGTAATCCTAGCACTCTGGGAGGCCAAGGCGGGCAGATTGTTTGAGCTCAGGAGTTCGAGACCAGCCTGAGCAGGAGTGAGACCCCGTCTCTACTAAAAATAGAAAGAAATTAATCAGACAACT